CCGGGGCTGGATGAAATAACGTAATCCCCGCAAGGGCCGCAAGACCTTAAACTCCTCGATGTATTAAATTTAATGACAGAATCGTTTGCGGTCGCTCGTTCTAATTCGGCCATCACGATTCTGCACCATGACCCATATCCACCGTCGCGTATTATCTCGTTAAATCACCGAAACCACTCGTTTCCCTAAACGAAAATCCATTAATGCCCCGCTGTATATAGGGTGACGCGCTTTCTCTTATTGAGTCGAGGAGAGGTTGGATCGAATCATTTCAATCGATTTATTCTCTCACCAGGTTCTTCTTCTTCTCTCGTTTCTTTTTTTTTTTCCAAATATTTTCAATTTTTTCGATCAACTTGTTCTTCAGAGCTCGCTATTCGATTTTTGCTTTCTGTGAAATTGCGTTTCTTTTCAAATTGGAACGTTTGAAATTGTATTCTTTTTATATTTAATGGTTGATGAATCGTTATGAAAAATTTTTGGAATGAAAGAATGTGTTTAGAATTCGTGGATTTCAGAATTCTATATTTTTTATTGCTTTTATATAATAATTTATGATCCTTATGAATATTAAAATTGATGAAATGTATTTTATTTTAAGTATTGAAAACAAATTAATTGAGAAGAACATTAAAAATTTATCTGAATTTAATTGAATTTGGCCAGATTAATTTTTGATTTCAATATTATCGAGGAGTCTGTTTAAACAATACAAACTATTTAACAAAATGGTTGATCAACGTAGTTGGAAAATAAAAATAAGCTAAAGTTTGAATAATAAAATCGCAAGAGGAGACAAAATAAACAATAAAAAATAAGAATAAGCAAGTGCTTTGCAATACCATCGCGCGATAGCGTAGCAATAATCTGCTTTGCAAACTTTTGACTCGTTCTCCTTTCTGATAGTCGGTTCCCATTGTGCTCCAACTTCCGTGCAACGACAAAGCGTTACGGCAAATCGTCGACCATAAATCGTCAACCGTGTTCCTCCTAGTATTTTTCATAACAAGACGCCACTACCTCGTATCTCGAAAGTTGCTAAACGCGCGCACAGTCGAACGTATTGTTCTCGTCTGAAGAAGCTCGTGTTCTCGTCTCGAAAGAAACGCGTAATAATAACGACGATCGAACCATTGCAATTTTTCACTTGTTGTAAATCCTTGAAAAATGATTTACAAGGCATAGAGGGAAATTTTGAAACTGAATGATTTATTCTACACTTGTTGCAAATGGAAGATTCGATCTTGAAAAGAATATGATTGGATACGTTTCTGCAAGTTTAATCCAAATTTCGTATATTTGGTTTTGGATAGATTTATAATTTACTACCTCAAGAATTGAATTTCTGTAAATACAATCCACTGCTACAGTTTTGACGTACAGTCAAACAATTCTCTTCATCAAACGTCAACATGCATTAGCGTGCAATAACGAAACACCGAAATATAACGAAAGAATATAAAAACTGGAATAATTTAAATTCGCCTTCCACAAAACAAACAACGAACCCTCCTACGATTAATTTCGCATTATTCCTTTACCACGAAACGTCACACGAAACGCAGATATCAAAGAAGAAGAGAGGAAAAAAAAAAAAAAAGAAAAAGCCACTTCTCCCGTATCTCGACCCCCTTTCACTCGCACAGACGATCGCCCTTTCGAAAAACGAGGATCATCCTCGCGGAACCGAATCGAGAAGTGGAAAATAGCGCGCTGGGGATGCGTTGGCAGTGCATCAACAAGATAAGAAAAGTTAGGGAGAGAGTGGAGGAGAGAGAGAAAGGGTGGAATGGACCGCCGCTTTGCTAACGGCGTGCATAAAACTCTGCGCGCCCGATACTGCGATGTGTGGCAGCAGCAGGTCGATGTATCGAGCCGGTCCTTCCGCCGGTGTAATCGTGATATACAGCCAATATTACGGGACATATAGATACCGCAACAGTGCTTTCAGACGCAGCGGGGTAGATGACGGAGGAAGGGAGAGAAAAGTAGGATTAATCCACGATGTGTATTGGAATTCTGTGTGGCCGTCTCCGTGGTTCGCTCTTCTTCCGCCATGCTGCGCGGAGAAATTAGAAAATTTTTGGGGAACGTGAGTAATGATCACGTCGCACGATGACGATTCATAAATTCTATCCTCCTTGGATTTTTTTTTTTTTGTATCGCGACGATTTTCAATCGTTGAAGCTGATGACGAAAGTTGGTGAGAAATAACTTAGTTTTTGGGAAATTATTGAGGAATTTTCGTTTTCAGTATAGATTTGACAGAGGTGATGTTGGTTTTTGTTTCTTTCTTTTTTTAATATCTTTTAGAGTCGTTCTCGCAGAATGGTGAGGATAGTTTGGTATTCGATGATGAAACTTGATGCATTTTCTGATTTAATTTTTTTCCTTTTTAATTTTTTTGCATTCTTATGTAAATTTTTCTTTCGAATTGATCAATCTCGCAGTATCTTGTAGTATTTTACATATTCTATATTATTGTATTTGGAAGAAATTTGGAAATTGTACAATTTCTTATACAATTAATCGATGATCTGATGTTTAATTTATTCTTTAAATTAATAAATAGAACGACGACGGATCGAAATATTTCGAATCGTAGTTTGAAAGAAAAAATGAAAACCATTTGGTGACGTGATCTTTTTTGCATGAAATACGTTTTTCCAAAAATAAACGAGAGACGTGAATACAAATAAAAGTAAATCTATGAATACATATATTTTGTTCTCCACGATATTTCCAACAGCTCTCCACCATTCAAAAATGGTATATTTATTTTTTACATAGTTTAGTTTCTGAACGCTACCAATAAACACAAAGGTTTGAAGAGAAATACGAGTACACAGGACAATGGTTTTGATGTTTATAGGATTGCCTTCTACATTTTTTTGTTCCTTTTTTCCCCCATGTTTTTTTTCCTTTTTTTTTTTCCCCTGTTTGATCCCATATCCTATCTGAAATCGAATATATCTGTTCTCTGTTGTATAAATCTGCAGAGAACGTTTGCCGACCTATTGCGTTTCGTGCCTGCGTATTTGTTAACAATGCGGTTGTAACTGTAGAAACAGCGAATGTATGCACTAAACTAAACGATGAAACACGTTAGACTATAAACGATCGTTCGATCGAAACCATTCAATCTCGGATCGAAAAAGGTTCCTTCCAGATAAAACATATGAAAGGAACCCTTTCATAGGTGAAGAGGACCAAAGTTAGATATATCGCATATTTGCTCCCAATGGAATAAACTATTTTATCAACGTTCGGGGAAAAAACCGATATAGGAGATATTCTATATCGACACGAAATTTCGACACGTTTTATCAACGAATCTTGAAAAAAAAAAAAAAAAAAAAAAANAAAAAAAAAAACAATGTTCTTCATTCAAAATCGAATCCATTCAACTCTGCTATTAGAAATTAATAGCTATGAATCTTCTATTCGAAAACGTATTTTCCAAATTTGCCAAATACAAATAAATTAACGGTACAATTTTCTAAAACCTTAAACACGAACCGTCGCATATACAATAAAATCCCCTCCCCAAAACAGAAGAGAACCAAGAAACTTACCATAAGAGAAATCCGTTATCGCCAACGTCATTACGCCACAATTCCCATCATCCATTCTTGACAAACCTCGTTGTCAACGAGCTAGAGAGGGGAGAGCTAGAACCGTCTCCCCTATAAAACTCGACGACTCACTACTCTCCTCTTTCTCCACAGCATATCGCGATTCATCGACCACTCCTCCTCCCCCACCAACCAATCCAATGAAATAATCGAACAACGAGCCGTGTAATCAATCGATCACGCGAGAAATATCCGCGGACGGAAGTCTCCACATGTACTTGGACCGCATTCCTCCCCGCCCGTTTGATCAACGCTTCACGCCTGGATCATTAATCGACATATGGACTACAGTGGCTTGTTCGATGATCCAATTATAGAGGCGCACGTTCCACCGTGTTTGGCATACTTGCGCGATCTGCGTTTGACGCCGGTTGATTCATTTCCCTCTCTCCTCCTCCTCCTCCGCCCCGTGTTTAACACCGAAACGCATTTTCCGCCGGTTAATGCAGCCGTGAAAATCACCAGCCGCAGGAACATTGAAATCGTCGCGTAATTTACCCCTCCCCTCTTTCGCACAATGGCGCGTTAGATTTTCAATCAGACGGGGGGGGGGGAGAGAGAGAGAGAGAGAAGAGAGAGAGCACTCGTGGTAAAAATGTGCGCGCGGCACAACGACGATGCTTCGATGGTGCTTGGACGAGGAGCACGACGTTTAAAAGGGACAGCGCGGCGGGGGGGCTGGTTATTTTCGGAAGATCTTAATGGCGAGATTAATTCGATGCATCTATGCGGGTGGGTTTCGATTCGATCGTGTTTGGGGATGATGTTTCTTTGATGATTGTTATAGAAAACAGGTGTATTTGCAGGTGTTTGGAGAGGTTCGTTCTCTCGAGAATGAATGTGTTTTGGTGAAATTTATTATTCGGTTGACGATCGATCGATGAGAAAGTAAGTTGGGTTGCAAATTGATACGTGTGTACGTTTTAGAATATTTCCACGTACGTGTCATTCTTCTAATTCTTCGCAACATTTTCCGCGTTCCAATTTTCCATGGATTTTCAATTTCGAAATATTTCGAAGAAGAGAGAAAGAGAGAGAATCGAAACAATTTAATTCAAGTTTGAAATTTAAAAATTTTCCGCGAGCTTCGTGGATAATCAAATATGGCCAGTTAATTGATTTACAATTTCGTAAAATGACATAATTTGTATTTTTAAAAACGAGGTTTAGAAGTTAATTGATGAAATCTCAATATCATATAAAAAAATATCTATCCGTAATTTTATAGGATTATCTCTAAACTAAAATTTTCACACCGCCATGAAACAGCGCCAATTAGTTCGATACAAACATCGATAACAATTTCACGTTCTTTTCACGTCAGGCAAAATTCTTTTAATTAAATTCTTCCATTCGTGGAAATGGAAACGAGCGACTCCAAACTTTTTTTCTCGTATTATATTTTCTTCGATTAATAAATAATCGTCTCCTATTCCACTTAAAAATTTAAAACATTTCGATACATTTGTACCGCTTAACAAGTTGAATTGTAAATGCGGTAACAACTCTTTTTTCCTCCTCCTTCACGAGAGCAAGAAAAGAGCAGCGCCATTATAACCGTTGCGTTGGTGTTTCACTGCGACGAGAAGAGGGTTGGCCGGCCAAGTAACGAGGCTATCCGTAAGGCTGAAAAGAAGAAACGACTCGAATGAATATTGTGCCGCGAGATTGTAATAGGTTGAGAGATGCGCCGTCAAAAGTGGAAAGAAGTTTCCTCGAGATTTGTATTCCTGTCTTATAGCTCCCTTCTATGAATCTCTCTCTTTTGCATTTTCCTTAGCGCACGTCTAAAGGAGCGCGTATTCAGCTTGTCTTATCGTCGCTCTTTTGAACGATCCTTGGAAGAAAAAAAAGAGAGAGAGAGAGAAAAAGAATCACCGAGTCCGAGTAACGAGAAAAACGACAGTCTTGAGACTTTAACTCTTCTGAAGCTAGAATTATGCATATACAGTTATCTTTGCTGTTACAATTTTTATCTTACTCAGTTCACAAAGGTATATGTGTATGTGTGTGTGTGTGTGTTTGAAATTAAAACTTTTGCTTCTTTTTCTTATTGCGTGATCTTTTGATTGATTTTCTTAGGTTTTTTTTTTTTTTTTTGTTATTGAAAATTCTGGAATATACGGATTTTTTTTTAATTGTGAAATGTTAAGAATGTTTCCGCTTGTTGGAAATTTGACCACTGTTCCCATATTTTTGTTCGCGGTCTTAAACCTTTCACGGACAGTTTGATAATCGCTTTAATCGAAGAAGTTTTCTGCGATTATGGATTCTATTTAGGGGAAGGAGAACAATTTATTACCCTAAGAAAATAACCTCAACGTTCCATAATGCCAAACTTCAAATGGCCATAAATTTCAAAGCGTTTCTTAACAAAGAACCTGCCTTTTTATACCGCCGGTTTAGTAATTTTCGCGCCTCGATATATTATAGTTCCCCTTCCTTTATCCTTTTTTTCAACGCCCGAGTGATGCATTCACCAGCGTAAATCCACTTAAACAAGAATCAAAAGAAATATACATAACGAATCGTGTACTTTTATTCCCCTCCTACACTTTGCTGAAAAACTTGGAAGAAAAAAAAAAAAAAAAAAAAAACTACAAATTATTCAACGAGCAAAGAAGAAATTTGCATTCTTCGATCCTTTCGGAATAAAATGTTCACATAGCAATAGACAATTATAATGTAAAATATTTTCACATACTTCAATGTGAAAGCGTTCGAACAATTTCAAAATTTCTTTCCTCTCCGAAGTTCCAAGCGACTACTTCAAAAAAAGCGAACTACTCCAAGCCTTCGTAAAAACCAAACACTTAACCCAGGAACACGGGGGTAAACAAGTGACGATTTAACGACCAGCGATAATTTCAAGAAGCTGAGAAGCATCCTCGAGGATCGACGTCGAAAGATAAGGTTCGCCTTTCCACTTTCTTAAGCTCCTTCAACTCGACGCCTCTATCACTTTCATACCTCGATTGTCAAAGTGTTTTCGCGAGATGTAGATGTAGCGGAAGAGTGGAATCGAATGGAAGGCTGGCTCTGTTTCCTTCCCTGATCCTGTTGCGCGGGAAGGGGATCAAAGTCCCTCGAAGAAAGAGAGAGAGAAAGAGAGAGAGAACTTCGAAACTCATTTAACTGATACGTTGTGTCACGGATGACGCGGTTATATCGGGCACGAAACTCGTTTCGATTCGTGCCACGGTTTCTAATCGAGGGGAGGGAAGGGGAGGGTGAACGTTTGTCAGTAACAGGGGTTATAGATCGCCGCAGTATGGAAAGCATTGGCGAGCGAATCGTGGATGATTTACGATTCGAGAAATCGTCGAGAATTCGGTCGAAGCCGCTCCATGTCGACTGGGTATTTACTGGATATCGAAGGTCGACAGGGGATTCACGTTGAAAGCGTCATCAGGCATATTACTTTTTGAAACTCGTCTCCCACGTCAATTCCCGGATCCTTCGTTACATTATAGAAATTCTTGGTTAACCGAGATTTCCTTCGAAATCTTCTCGCTAAAATTGCTCTCTGATAATTGTTGTCGATCGAATTTTACGTGAAATATTTTATGTTTTACAGTAATAATAAAACTATCATCAAACATATTCATTCTTCCGCGTATTTTATATCGGTAAAGGAATGAAAATGTGATTCAAAGTGAAACAAATATCCGATAACAGAGACTCTAGCCGTAAAAGTTTTCTTTTGTTCTTTTTATTCGCAGCGATCAATTCTGACGAAAGAGCAAAAAAAAAAAAAAAAAATTCTCGTTTCAGGGAAATTTGGCGCAAAGGAGCAAGGGTGCATATTCGTGCGTCGAGATTTGTTCGAAAAGCTCGGTGTTCGAAAAAGTTAATAAAAATTCTGGCTTTACCAATTGCGTGGCCAGCATGTTCAACCACATTGCGGCGGGCCATGGAAACTCGCGCAACATTTGTTGGGCTTTTGTCGGCGGAGACTCGATTTTCGCAGTCGGTTACACGTTCCCTATGGTCTAAGCAGCTTTCTCGTGCTTTTATCGAGCAAACTGGTTGCAACCAATATTTCATTAGGCGGAAAACCATCGAAATTACTCCGTTTTTTCTCCTTTCCTTTCCTTCCTTTTCTTTCTTTCGCAAACGATAAATGAAATTGCACTTGTTCTTGTTCTTGTTGTTGTGTTACAATCCAAACGTGTTTCATCGATTACCGAACTGCAAATTGGAACACGTTTTCTATTCTATTTGAAATCTTCCGCTACACCAACATTCTTGTCTCTACCCCGATTATTACGAGGCGTACGTAAATTTGTCTCTTCGAACTTTAACTCGCGATGGCCATGACAATTTTTGGCCGAGCTTGTTGTGAAAATGCTCTTTGATTCCTTGTTTTGAAAAGTTTGGAATTGGGTTGGTTTGATGAATGAGAACGAAGGCTTAAGAGTTAAAGAGGAGGTGTTCAAGGTGTATAATTAGTTTGAAACTTGAATCTAGAGTGGAAGATATATATATATACGGTCGGTAATTCTGGGAAGAAAATTTTTGAAGTTTCAATTGCATTAATTTCCCCTCCTTTTTTGCGTATCCAGATAATCCAGATATTATATTCCACTTTTCATTCAACAATAACAATTGCAATTATTGCGATCTCGAGATGATATTAGGAGAAATCATCTGGATCGCTTTATAAAATAAAATCTTCACTTCGGTCGCACTTCTCTCCAATAGAGATTTCCAGTAATTTAATTTTCGATCTCGCTCGAGGTATTACGTTCCTTCATCTTCTGTCCCAGTTGCCGCATTAAGGATAGTGGTTTTCTCTCCCTTCGTGCTCCACTTATGCTAGTTTATGGATCTTGCGAAGGGACACTGAGGGAAAGGATAATGGAGAGCCTTTGTGTTCCAAGAAAATACATATGCGCCTCCCGATAAGATATCGCATTGGTGGAAGAAAAATATTTATCTATGCCCTGTTCTAAGATCCGGCTAAATCTCGGATTACTTGATCAAAGAGCTTAATCATTCGTGTATACTTTGTTAACGAACGCGCTTATTATTACCTCTCTTTGTTCCAATTTTTCTATTTGAGATTTAATCCATAAAGTTAGAAAAATTAATTAATTTGAGAGAGTTTTCAGTTCGAAGCGACGAATTGATCTTGATCGATCATTTAGAACGAAATAAAAAATCTTTCATCGTGTCTTTTAAATTAGAAGTATGATTCTAAGATTTTTTTCTTGTTTAAATAATGGAGTTATTTGAATGTACTACTTCTGTAAACATTTCACGAGCCAAGTAGAAACAATAGTCTTACTACGATACGAAATATACTTCAGAAGAGTGTATTCTACATGCTGCTATTCTTTCCTTTTACATTAAAAATATTCTTTTTAAAAATATCACCGAGGCTTCTTGAAACGAACGACGTTTCCGTGTTATTCTTTCCAGTTTCGCAATTAATTACTGGACAATGTATTTACGAGAGAGATAGATTTCATTTTAAAAAGAAGAAAGATCTACGTCTTCTAAATTCGTCGAGATTTAATAAAAATTGTAATTTCACTCGGCAAATAAGAACGAGAAAGTTCAAGTTACAAACAAGTTTTGTTTCTTTTCCCCGTTACATTTCTTCTTTCTTTTGTTAATCCCTTTCCTTTATCTTTTGTCCTCTTCCTCTTACACGTTCTCCAAATATGTGTTACTCATCGTTCATTTGCTAGAAATTTTTTGTCTTTTTACATTAGAATTTTATTTACTTCGAATAAGACATAATTGTATGTAATTCGATTTTTCAAGGAAGAATCGGACACCGTATTAATATTTATTTATATTCGATGCAACTTTTTCGTTTAGATTTGTTCACGCTCTGTAGCGGTCAATACCCAACGCTACACTTTTGCAGTTTGATTATGCGCTTCGTTAAAATGCTTTTAAAGGGAAAACGTCACACGAATTTATCTGAGTAATCTTCTGTCAATCGACGATCACGAGCGAAAAAGTGGTTCGAAAAGGTAAGATTTCGTTCATTCCTCGATGCAAAAATTACTATCCTCGAAGTTCGAACGGTTTAAACTTTTCCTAGATTTAATAGAGTTTAATCGATCTTAGAGTAAATTTCCTACTTGAATACGTTTATTTCCGGAAGAATACTCTATCCATAATGCTCTTCTTACTCTCACGGTATGTTAAAAACTTTAAATTGATTTAAAAGTTATCTCGAGTCTTTTGCTTCCAAGTTATCTCAAGTAAGTCGAAGGCTTTGATCGATCTGGTTGAATCGTGTCGATTAATAAAAGAAATTTTATACAACTTCTTCGAGTACGTACATACTTTACACGATAACATCGAGCAAGTGTTCTTCCATTCCGAGTAATCCATGCAAATATCCCATATACTTTTTCGAATTTCTTCTTTCTTCTCGTAGTATATTCCAAGTTTTTTTCCCCCCCTCCTCTCATTCAACTTTCTCAATTATCCCAACTATCTCTCTCTCTCTCTCAACTTTCCTGGAGAGGTGCAATAATTTTTTAATCTTTTTTTCCACCTATGGAATTCCACTCCAAGTCCACAATCTTCTCAACTTTCTTCGACCAAGTTCCAAACGATCTGTATATAACCGGCTCGATCGAGGACGAGATTTCATTAAAAAA